TTAAATTTATATTTCACAGTTGTCTCTGTTGGGGGTCTCACTAGAAAATCAAACCAGTTGTTTCAATAGAGGTAATTTATGTAAAGAATTGTTAACTAGGTATAAAGTTGCTAACCAGATAGTTGGAAGGCAGGAAGGTAACTCTGAAATATCAGTGTTAACAACTGCAAAAACAGCCACCACTACTAGGATTGAGGGTACAAAGGAAAGTAGTGGTAATTAGTAAACCTTTAGCATAGAGGATGGGCCTGATGGAGCTGACCTCTGAGGAAGAGGACATTGCTCATCTAGTGCTGGTGTGAGCTCAATGGAGAGACCCCGATCTCTGGGGATAGTGCACTGATGGGCTGGTACTGATTTGTCTTTGGGGGGCACGCATTGAGGCTGGTTTTGCAAAGGTGGAAAAATTGCAAACAATTCTGTTAACTGCTTCAGGAAGGAATTGCAGATGCTGGGATGAAAAAGCGAGTTTCAGATGATGCCCACAGGAACAGCAAACAGTAAAGTCAAGTGATGCCAATAGGAAGCAGCAGATCTCTTTCTCTCTGCAACCCTTCCTATTGGCAAAGCCTAATGTGATTTGGAGAGCCTGTAGCATCACAAGGCAGAAGGTTGAACTTGGAGCTGACAGACAGGAATTTACATACATATCAAACTTTCAAAGTTAGGGAAAAAACCTAGTAACCTAGCTTATGGTCTTATGTAAAATCAACATACAGGTTCTTTAAAGGGTACAAGGTTTAATCATGTCACTGAAAAAGACTTCTATCATAATGTGCTGAGTAAGAGTTTAAAATTTTGGCTGCATTGTTCAATTTATTAAATTTCTATTCCATACTTGTGAAAACGAATCTTATGCTTTTTAACTTAAATGTTTTAAAATCAGGGGTAATCACAACAGAAAGCACAAACCTTGATGGTCTTGTTATAGCAAGCAAGTCTTTATCTCTTACTACCTTTGTCTATTTTACCTAAACTATAGCCCAGCCCGATCGATGGCTCTCTGTTTCTTACCATGCCCTGAACTTACTCTGATCTCTTGGGATAGGGCACTGGTGGGCTGGTGCTGGTTTGTCTTTGGGGGGCACACAGTGAGGCTGAGGCTTTTGCTCAGGTTAACTCTTGACTCCAACATGCCTCTTGGGTGGTTCCCTTTCCCCCTATCCTCCGTAAGTGCATGTCAAAATCCTAGCCCTCCTTCTAAACCCTCCACAATCACAAACTTCTATAACGTCTGTCCTAATCTAAAGAACTAAATGTTCTCTCTCACCAAACCTCTCATTTTTCTTATTAGTCTTAAAATACCTTTATTCTTTTAACACAGAGACACTCCTCACCAACTTCGATACCTGGTCAAAAATCTTCTTGTTTTTAAAGAATCCACTTACTCATCATTCTCTTTAGAAAGTCGGCCCAGACTTTGCACCCCAACCTCCACAGCTGTTGCCCTGTGGTATCTTAGGCATACTCTATCATGACATTTTTTTCGTACTCTATTGTAATTCTTTATTTGGGTGTCTATGTCCTCCACTAAGCTGAATATTTTGCTATCCCTAGTGCCTAGTATAATACTGGCACTGAGTAGATATGGTAATACATGATTTTTTTGAATTAATAATTGAATATTAAGTGATTGTCAAATTAAGTGATTCACAGCAGAGCTAGGTCTCCTAATTTCAAGACGGATTTCTACATCACAGATATCTCTGCCCACCCCCATGCCCCCTCAATTAGACTGTAAAGTCCTCTGAAGCACCTAGTACAGTGGTCTCTTTATTCAAATTATATAATTGAAATGATTTCCAAATATTGACTGAGAAAAATCTAAAAGGGAGAAAAACATTAACCATATTCAGTAGCATCATTTAAGTTTGACTCCTGCAGTATGAGACTAGAGATACAGTGATCATCTTTTGAGAATTAAAAAAAAACAAAACAGTTCCACAGTCCAGATAAGTAGGGAATTGGATATCAAAAATCTAAGCTGCTACTACTGGTTAATTATCTTTGCTTGGCACTATTTTTATAGCCCCAGAGAGTTTACATCATTCTGTTGCCCAACTATTAAGGAAGACATTTAGGTTCTGATCATATCTCCACTTTCCCTCCCTCCCTCCCCCACACACTGGAAAAAAGAGGTAAGTCTCATAATTTTGCCTCTTGCTGGGCCTCATATATGAAAACATGAGCTCATTGTTTGCTTGACTAGAAACAGGAAACCCCTGGGATAATGTGTCTTCAGCCTGTCTAGTTGGTATGGTTTGTGAACCCAAGAAGAGATACAAGCACTTTTTCTCTTGTTCATGATTATAAAAGCAATGTGTATACAAAAAGATTTGGGAAGTGCAGATTTTAACTGAAAGAAAAGCATCACCCATAATCCACTACCAAAAAGATGACATCATTAATAATACACTTTACATATTTTGACTTTATTTCTGGACATCCTTTTATGTAACTGAAATTACATATCTGTGATTTTGACCTGTCTTCACTTATAGCATAATCATTTTGCTGTTATTAAAAATGCTTCATAAACATTTTTTGCATTGTATTTTATAGTATATTACACATAAATTTCTGTTTTAGATATCTGAGATCCATTTTTTTCTTTATTTCAAACAATATTGCAGTGAACATCTTGGTTTATTATTCTCTGAAGTTATTGTCTTAAATACCTTCAAAAAGTATGGCATCATAAAATACTTCCCAGAAAATGTTTTAATCGGTTTATATTTCCACTAGTAGTATATCAGTGTGTCTTTTTCATCATTATCACACCAACGTGATTAGTCTCATTTTTAATATTTATTTAATGAGTCTTTCTAAATGGTTTGTCACCCTACTGTCTAAAAACAGCTATTTTGTGTCTCCTTCCCTCTCCTTCACCAACTTAATCTTACCTGCGCCCTTTCTTCCCAAGGGAAAACAGAGATCATCACACAGGAGTTACCCTCATCCTTCCGTCACCAAACTCAAAACCTGCCTTTCTTTGTGCCATGGAGAAATTGTCCCTCTAAGAGCACATCCCTAAACCAGTACTCTGGATCGTGTCCCTTCTCCTCTTCTCTCAAGCACCTTCCCGCTTTAATTAGTCCCATCTCTTTCCTGCGCTTTAGGTTTCCCTCAGATCACCACCCAACCTGCTCATGATCTGCCATTAAAATAAAGCAAAAAGAAAAGGGCCTTCCCTTAAGCCTTATCCTTTTCTAACTCCACCCTTTTTTCTCAAGTCACTCACACATATCTCTCAAAAGAGTATTTATTTATATATATGTCTACATTTCTCTCCACTCATTAAAACCGTGTATGGAAGTGAACCAGCAATTCAACTGAGATCTGAAGATATAATATGATGGGAGTTGGTGGGCAAAGGGAGTTTGCTTATACTCAGAACTGTTGTTGCCAAGTTCAGTGATCTTCATGCTGTTAGGTCCTTGGATACTAGTTGTCATCCTACTTGACCCTTAAATACATGTAATATTTGACAGTATTGATTTCTCCTCCTTTGAATCTTGCTCCTAAAGTGATTCCTCACTTTCCTGGTGTCCCCCCACCTCTGGCTTGGTTTCTGTAGGCTCATTTTCACCCAACCTGCGTGCGGGAATTCCTTAGGACCCAGTCATGAGCCTTTTTCTCATGACTTCTTTAGATGACTTCATTTCACTCTCATGGCTTTAAATGTCTTCCTTGTGTCAAAGTTACCTAGATTTATATCTCTGGCCATGACCTTTGCAAAGTCAAACTTAACATATGCAAAAGGAAATCCTTGGTCTTCTCCCTTTTTAAATCATCTATTCCTCCATTGTTTACTTTTTGAGGAAATGGCAATTCCATGTACATGTTTTCCCAGTAACCTTGGAGTTATTCTTGACCCCGCCCTCTGCCTTGGTATTGTTCCTCTTAACACTGCTAGTAAATTACTCACTGTGTGCTGGGCATTATACTAAGTGTTATTTTATATATATTTCCCTCTATCTGGAAGACTGTTCATTTGCTTAAAGAGTAGTGTATTGTTGCATCAAGACTAAAGCCAATGTTACCTTCCTCTGGGTATTACATTTCCATGTGATTAAAATTTTATTTTGGTTTTAGACTTTTAATTTCTACTTATTGTACCATTTAGACAGTATGGCCTGTGTGGTTTCTACTTTTAAAACTCATTGCAGATTTTTTAGTGGTTTATGACACTTGATCACTTTTTTTAAAGTGTGCCAGGGTTGGTTAACATTTTTCTGTATAATGGTTTTTTTCATCATCTTAGTATGGTAGTATTAACTTCTAATTCAACTTTTAACAGTCTTTTCTCAATATATGGTAAAGCAGGATGGAATGTCCAAAGAGTCCATTGCTGTTCGTTCTGGATTGCACTTTTCTTCCATGTTAAACATATCTTTGTAGTGATTTTATGTACTTTTATATTAATATTATCAATCCAGTGAATTTTATTTTAACATTCATGTGGTATATCTCTTCCATCATTTGATTTTCAATTTTTCTTAGTCCTTCTGTTTTAGTTGTGACTCTTGTAAATAATGCATAGCTAGTTTTTCTGTTATTTTTATCCTGGGTCCTTCAGTAGGTAGATAGGCTGATTTTAATATAATCAGTCTTAAAATCTGAGTTTTCAATTATTTTATTTATGTTAGTTATTAAAAGTATTTTATTGATACAAATAATTCTTAACCTGAAAATATATTTATCACAAGGGAAATAAATTTCTCATTATCTTAGCACCCCAGAACAATCACTTGTAACATTTTGCTATATGTTCTTTGTTTATATGTGGAGGAAGAAAGGATGAAAAAGAAGAGAAGGATGAAGGGGAAACCTATGTCAAATATCTTCACATTTACTTGTCTTATGAATTAAAAGCTGTACTCTAGAGCAGGGAGAATCAAGTATTCTTTGTTTTAGCACCAAGCACAATGCCTGATATATATGAAATTAATAAAAGAAAGAAAGAAATGAGCTTAATTTTTCTGTTTTTCTCTCTGAAGATTTCCATGGAGAATGATTATCTGGGTCCCCGAAGAATCGAAAGTCTACAAAAAGAAGATGCTGACTGGCAGCGGAAAGCTCATATGGCCGTGCTATCTATTCAGGATCTTACTGTCAAATATTTTGAAATAACAGCTAAAGCTCAAAAAGGTAAGTTTTCAGTAAAATTATCCTTGTTGGGTATTTTTGAAAATGAGTAGTTTAAGTATTTTATGATCATAGTAGCTATATTTAAAAGTATATAAAGATCACTGTTAACAAAAGTATATCCTTTCAGTCTTTTCTAGGCATATGTGTTTACATATACCCCACCTTAAAAAAAAAAATAGTAATGGGGTATTGATATAAGTGTAATTCAGTCCTTATACTAACAATTCAGTTATAGACCCTATGGTTTAAGGGCACAGTTTCCTCAGACACTATTCACAAATTTGAGGGTCCCCAGGCCATGTGCACTTCTAACCAACTGGTTACAAATTTAGGAATTTCCACACCCTTTTTAGGTTCACTAATTTGCTACAATGACTCACAGAACTCAGGAAAGCACATATTTACAGTTTATAAAGGGTACATATCAGGACAAGCCAAATGAAGAGACTCATAGGACAAGGTCTGTGAAGGCCCATTCCTTTTAACACCCATAATCTATTTACCCTCGCATGGATATAGTTTAGCATTCAGGTTATTCTTTCAGCAAATACACGTTTTCTTAAATGTTTCATTTAAATCAATTTGTTTATTTCTTCAGGATGCCAGTGCTAAATGAGAATATTTTCCTTGATCCCTCAACATCGTTTGGCATTGTCATTAAAAGAATAAAACCAGCAATTTGATAGGTAGAAAATAGTATCATGTTTTTATATTTTGCATTTATTTAGTTATTACTGAGTGTTGATCTTTGTTGTTTTCATGTAATAATTGGTATTTGCATATACTTTCTTTTTTTCCAGTTAATATCTTTTGCCTATTTTTCTATGGTAGTATTTTTTCCTATTGATCTGTAAGAGCTCCTTATATTCATTATATTTGTATTATATTTGTAGTATAGTCATATATTAACTCTTTAACATTTGTTGCAAATATCTGTTCCTAAATTTTTCTTTAACTTTTTTGTTATACAAATTGTATTTGTAAAATATCAGCTTGTAGAATTATTTCTTTTTGAATCTTTAAATTATGTTACTTAATTTGTTGTGTTTTCTAAAATAAGTTTCTGTGTTCCTCCAAATAGTTAAAGCCTACTTAAAAACAAATCCTTTTATATACTTGGATTTCTTTCTGGACTTTCTTGTCCATTGATATATCTTGTCCTTATGCTATAATTACTGTAGTTTTGTAATGAAATTTATTAGTTTATCAATTAACCCCTCATCTTTTTTTTTTTCAAAATGTTCTTGGTTATACTCAATTATTCTCCCCTAAGATAGTATTATAATGCTTTTCTAATAATTGGAATTATTTATTCCCAAACCAGTATAATTCTAATGAAAACTACAACATTTTAGAATTTGAAAAAGGATTTTATATTCATGGGGAAGAGTAAATGCTTTGTTTATTAAACAAACAAATGTTATAATTTGAAAAAAGAAATGTGTCATGGGTGTACCTTGCCATGTATTCAAGTCTGTTTTCTTCAGGCAAGTTTTGTAGGGTTTTTCGTTTTTGTTTTTTTTATCTGGGTTCTACCCATTTCTTATTCAGTTCACTTCTCAGTGTTTCATGTTTTATTTCTGTTATTATGAAAGGACAGTATTCCTTTTAACAGGTTTTGGACTTTATTTTTTAATCTTCAAATCTTTGATCCTCTTTTGGTGATCCTCTATGCTGTAGAATGTGTTGAGATGCATACTGAAATGTTTAACTTCTATACAAAGTGAAATTTAATAGCTATGATGAAAACTTGGAATAATTCTGTGTGATTTCTGTTTATGTGGTTTGTTTCTTAGATTTAACAAAATGCTTCACGTAGATAGAATTATAGTTAACATTTAGTGTTTGGTTGTAAGTGCTTCCTTTCATCCTTTTAAGGTATGTTTTAGTCAGAGATACCTTATTGTTTTAATGTTGATATAAGTGATTTTTGTGCATAGATACTGGCAAAGGTGTTGGACATTGATGCTTTTATTGCTACTTTGTAGACTCATTTCACAGTTTCAGCCACCAAGATTAATGTGTCCCTTCTTTCCTGTTCCTAAAATATGGATATTTGTCTAAGCAGGTGGCAGTATTATTAGCTTAGAAAGTTTTGAGTAAATCATATTACTTGCCTCCCCATCCTCATTCTTTTTGGAAAAATAGTATAATATGATTAAGGAATTTTGAAATCACATATATTCTGCCACCATTCTTCATCTCCTATTCTTTCATGTACATTTCAAGTACACATGAAAATATTTTTCATTTAAAATACATTATATTAGGATGGGATATTACTACAGAACTTGCAGGCATCAAAAAGATACTGAATTCTATAGTTACAAAGATGAAATGGAACAGTTGCTTGAAAAACACAAACTACCACAACTCACACAAGATGAAATAAATAACTTGAATACCCTGTAACTATTAAAGAAATTGGATTTGTACCTTAAAATCTTTCAAAAAAGAATTCTCCAGACCCAAACGGGTTTACTGTGAATTTTAACAAATATTTAAAGAGTAATAGCAACTCTATACAATCTCTTCCAGAAAATAGAAGAGGGAGAAATAGTTCCAATTTATATTAAATGAGACCAGCAATTCCCTATATCCAAGACTACATAAAGATAATACCAAAAAAAGGAAAACTACAGACCAGCATTCTACATACATAAATACAAAAATCCTCAATGAAATATTGACACATTTAAAAATATTAATAAAAATACTTTAAAAAATGCACAACCATGACCAAGTGAGGTTTATCCTTCGTGATTCAGTATGTGAACATCAATCAATGAAATCCACCTGTTGGAAGGTCTAAAGCAGTGGTTTTTAACTGGAGGTGATTGTGGAAACATTTTTGGTTGTCACAGCTACAGAAAGTATTACTAGCATCTAGCAGAGAGAGGCCAGAGATTGTGTTAAACATCTTATGTTGCACAGGACAGCCCACCCTTACAGCAAAGAATGTTTTGGTCTATAATGTCAAAAGTACTGCGGTTGAGAAACCCTAGTCTTAAAAAAATATGCACGATCAATGTATCAATAGATGCTGAAAGAACATTTGGCAAAATACAACATCATTGTGCTGAAAATGCTCAGCAAATTAGAAATAGAAAGGAATTTCCTTAACCTAATAAAGGGCATCTACAAAGACCCTAAATAAAGCCAGCATCACATTTAATGGTAAAAGACATGGTTCCTCCCCGCTAAATAGCTAAAAAGTCAAGGATGTTCCCTCTTAACCACTGCTATTTAATATAATATAGTAAATCTTAGCTAGTTATAATACAGCAAGGAAAAGAAAAGGCATATAGTTTGGAAAGGAAGAAATAAAATAGTGCCCTTTCACAGATAATAATATTGTTTATGTAGAAAATTGTATGGAATCTATTTATAAAAACTTGGAACTAACAAATGACTTTCTCAAGGTCACAGGAAATAAGGTCAACACACAAAGATGAATTTATACAAGCAATGAACAATTGGAAATCAAAAAATTTTAAACAATAGCATTTATAATTCCTACCAAAACAAAGTTGGTATATATCTAACAGAAGGTACAGGATTTTTATGTCTATCAAAATACCAGCAGGGTTTTTTGTTTGTTTGTTTGTTTGTTTTTGTAGATATAAACAGGCTGGTTCTAATTTATATGGAAGGGCAAAGGAACTAAAATAGCTAAAACAGTTGTTAAAAAGAAAACAACACCTTGCACTACCTGACTTTACAAATTACTGTAGAGCTACTGTGGCATGGTATTGTGGAAGGGATAGACTTGTTAATCAGTGGAAGAGAATAAAGAATACAGAGATACGTAATACATGGCATTTACTCATTGATAAAGCAAATCAATGGAAAACAACAAATGGTGTTGCGACAATTGGCCATCCATAGGCAGGAAAAATGAACTTTGACCTAAGCCTTACACTTTATACATAAATGAACTAAAAATGGAATTAAATGTAAAACTATAAAACTTCTAGTAGACAAGAGAAAAATTTTTGTAACCTAGAGCTAGGCAGAGAGTTCTTAGCAGTGACACCACAAATACAAACTATAAAAGCTACGTGATGAGTAGTAACTGTAAAAGAAAACAACTGATACAATGAATTTCATCAAAGTTAAAAACTTTTACTCTGCCAGGGACTATCAAGAGAATGACAAGCCAAAAGAGTTTAAGAGAAAATATTTGCAAATAACATATCTGAAAATGAACTTGTATGCAGAATATATAGAAAACTGTTAACTCAATGAACAATCCAGTGAATAGTGAGTTAAGAAAACAATCCAGTTAATAAATGAGGAAAGGATTTGAACAGACAGTTCACCAGAGGATAAAGATGGCAAATAAGCACTTGAAAAGATGTTCAGCATTATTAATCTTTAGGGTAATGCAAATTAAAACCACAATGAGATACCTACACATGCCCATTAGATTGGCTAAAATAAAAAATACTAACAAGACCTAGTTGCAGACAAAGAAGCAGAGTAACAGGAACCCTTCCTGCATTGCTGGTAGGAATGTAAAATTGTGCAGTCTGGAAAATGATTTTGCAGTTTTTTTATGTAGTTAAAAGATACACTTACTATATATGACCCAGCAGTCCTTCTCCTGGACCCAGTATGGTAATTTTTAAAATAAAAATTGAAAGAAGAAAGCAATACATTATGTTAATAATAGTTCCTTTGAACATTTAAATATGTTGTTCCCTATCGTAAACTATTTTTATGATAACTGTATACTTGGTTTAGACTGCCTTCTAGATATACGCTTCTCTAATGTTTAAAAAAAAAGCTTTGCATTGTGATTTAAAAAATATGTAACCATTGCAGAAAGTTTAGATTAGAGGAAAAAGATACTCCACATCTGTAACCCTACCAGCCTTATGCGACCACTTTGTGTATCTGTTAATTTTTTTCTATACCTGGTTTATTGCATAATTGCAATGATTCTGTATTTTCTCTTATATAGTTCATAGTTTATACAATTTTGATTATTGCTCTTATTTTATACTTTGCTTCTCCAGTTAGAGGCAAAACAGTTTTGTATGTGGTGAGCATCATTCTAGGTTTCCAAGTACTGTCATAGTCATTGTAGACTTCTTTATATCTTGGTTTTGGTGACTTTATCTTAGTAGAAAGCCTTTGAGCCCAAAAAGGAGAGATACTTAGTTTGCTTAACCTTTTAGTTTTCCTTTTCTGAGCTTGTTTTCCTCCTCCCATGTAAGAGAAACAGAATGAAGATCCCTGTGTGGCTTTATGCTGTTGAGAGTAATAGCCCTCCTTTGTCTCCAATTAGAAGGTAACCTCTTTTTAGAAGAGGTGTAAAATGGGCCCTTCTTTTATTTCCTTCTCTATAAAGCTAGGTGTAACCTAATTTTGATATATTACTGCTTAGCTTTCAAAAACATCTTAAATAGGCCTGTTTCTGACAAGTATACATATGTTAGAAAATTGGGTTTCATATAGAGAGGTTTAACATGATACGTTGTAAATACCAGGACTGTGTAGCCTTCAGAGCTTTTTTACATGTAATGATCATCATAGAGCATCACTACCGGGTTGTTATCTTGATGGATGATGTAAATGGTCATCTTAGCAAGAATCTTTATTTTTGCCAGCAGAGGGAGAGAAGAATCTGTTTTAGAGAGATTCCAATTCTGTTCTTAGGGGTATTCCAGTCATTCACAAATAATTTTCTTCATTACCTTCATATTCCTGAGCTGTTGGGATATAATTTCAAGTGAAATGAACAGTAATTAGATGTAAGAATACATTCCATCCAAAATATTGGAAAACAAAGTACTTACAAGGTCTTGGCAGTAGGTAGCAACCTGAGCAAAGTAGGTAGGACAGGGAGCTGCTCCCCAGGCGTAGTCCTGAAGTGGGGAGCAAGAGAAAAGGCTCCCAACTATTTGTGAGGATGCAGAATGTTTGGCTATATGCTGGGAGTCCAAGTTCAGGTAAAAATGGATAGAGGGTAGTAAAAGAGGAGTTTAAGCAGCTTGAATACTAGTTTTAACCTTACTACTATAAGTGTGTAATCTTGGTTTTAAGTTACCGAAACTCCTCAGTTACGCATATCTATACAGAAGGTATTGGTGATCCATAACTTACCTATTCTATAGGATTGCTGGGCAGATAAACAGGGATAACATGGAAAAAGTACTCTGAAAGTAATATATCATCTTATAGATGTGAGAAGTTGTGGTAGTTTTTGCATAAAAGAGAAAAGAAAACCAAAATAGACCATATATTTGATTAATGTTGCCGTGTGACGTGTGAGAAATATTTGAATACCTATCATTCACTCATTTAATTCCCATAAAAAAAGCCGCCTGAGTAGGTACTATATTTCCTTACTTTTTTCACTCAAGGGAATTGAGCCCAAGAACAGTTAAGTTTCTTGCCAAAAGTTACATGTAAATTATGGGTAGAATTGGGAATTTAACTCAAAGCTGTCTAACTCTAAACCTCCTGCTGTGTTTTTCCTATAGTGCACTACTGTATTGGTCTTATGGTTGCATAAATATTATAATACAGTTTTAAAAGATGGGCAGGAATTTAAAGTGGCAGAATCATTTGACATTAAGTCAACATGAATAGAAACCCTAAAATTGAGGTTCATAGTGAGATTATGAATTGAAAACATTACACTCCTAAATGTTAGCATTTAAAAGCCACAGAAAAACAGGGAAACTGAAAGAACTGGTAACTATATTGAGAGGCGATTCTAAGTAAGCAAATTTCCCATATATCATAATAGGAACTCAACAAGTAAGTTTTAAAGACTTCAAATCAAGAAATAGCAATATTCCAGTATGGAGGTAACTACCAGAAGCAATCAAAAGTTGGTTGCATTTGGACCTTGGGACTAAGGACGAGAGAGGGCCAAGCATGAGAAACTGCTCTTTTTGTTATAAGGCTGTCCACAATTTTAATTTTTAAGTATGTACATGTGTTGTAAAAGCAATTTAAGATTTCATAAAATTCTGAGGCAAACATTACCAAGATGTACTTCCTTGCAAAAGATGGTTAGGACATAGTAGAAGCACAAAATTATTTATCACTTACCTATAAAAAGAACATATAAAAGAAACTAGTAGTGAATGTGTACTGACTTAAAGATGACATTCAGTACTAATAAGATTGTGGTTGGGCATAAGGATGATTGGGTTAATTGTATAATGACTCATGGTGAGCCACTACCATACTACTATCAGTGAGAAACTTCTTTAACTGGAAGATATTAGCTATTTGATTGTCAAGAAATATCAAGGTCTCTATTGTGACAAACTAAAAGGTCTCCATGCTAATATCTAGAGTTTATTTCTTTTTACATCAGATCATTACAATATTTTTTGGAGAACTCAAAATGATAAAATTTAGCACATGGATTTAAATAATTTTAAATAATCTTGAATAGCTATGGTTCTGATTGCAACTAACATTCCCAGGAAAAAGTATAAACCTTCACAGAATAAAGTTTATATAGAAACTTTGAAATCTAATAACACTGGACATGTGAAAGTATTTTTTAAAGTTTTAAAAAATGAAATTCAGTTTCATTTTCAGAAAGTATTTATGAGGATGATTACTTAAAATTCTTATTGAAGACGTTAGAATCTAAGATATTTTTGAATTATATTTTAGAGCTGGTATAGGTAATATGTCATGGGGGTAGGATTTGTGTGTTTATCTGAGTGTGTGGTCAGTGAAATGTAAGCCTATCAGATTCTATAGTATAAGTTTGTTTTCCATCTTAATGTCTTTTTTTAAAATTATTATTAATAGCTGTGTATGATCGAATGCGAGCAGATCAGAAGAAATTTGGTAAAGCATCATGGGCAGCAGCCGCTGAACGTATGGAAAAACTCCAGTATGCGGTTTCTAAGGAGACTCTGCAGATGATGAGAGCTAAAGAGATCTGTTTGGAACAGAAGAAACATGCACTAAAAGAGGAGGTAACAAAAACTCAGAAAAATATATGAAATTGTTTTAAAATTAAGATTTACTATTTGATTTTTAACTTTGTACAAAATTGACATTTTTCTGACTCTACAGGCAACTGTTCATTTTGCCTGTTTCTGTGAGATGATGATAACACACACGACTGGGCCTATGATTTGAGTTACCACTAATAGAAGAGTTAGACACACATGGTATTTTCACAGCATCATAGTGTGACTATAGGCTGCATTGCACTGTTAAAACAAAAAGAATTTTTGTTGTCTTTAAAATTTTTTGTACTGTAACATTGAAAGCTTTATGACAATTAAGAAAATTTCACTGCCCAGAGAAATTTAGTAAAATTCCTAAGGCAGTAAAATTTTGTTAGACTTGATTCTATTATGCTCAAACCACTTACCTTTTGGAACTTGCCATTTTATTCCTTCTGGAACATAGTAGGGTTAATAGAGGTCCAGTTTTCTTGACTGTGCTTCATTAGGACCTCTTCATGGATACAGAAAAAAATAGTCTTAGAAATCCTCAAAAAGGGTTACTGATATGTATATTTAAAACATATCTAAGTTGAACTCTTAAAAATTAAAACCCCTTTTTTTCATTGTCATCCTGTTCATCAGTGGTTTTAGCATTCCTCATAGTGCCCTGTACAGCACCGAATATGCCACTAATGCCCACATCTTGCTTGAAAATATTGCAGCCATTAAATGCATACTATTTCCTTACCCCCTAGGCCATTATTTTAAAAATACGATTATATGTTTTATATTTTACTATTAAACTGGGCCAGAACAAATTGATTTTTATGAAAGGGTACTTAAATATCACATTGGTCATTTGCTGATAGTTTTTCCAAGTATTAGAAGAAGCAAATATTAAGGTCTAGGAGTACAATTTTTTTTTTTTTTTAAGATTTTTATTGGGGAATTGGGGGATGGGAACAGTGCTGGGGAATTGGGGGAAGGGGAACAGACACTTAGCTGTAGAGGGCAGTGTCACTGGCCCTCATATGTGGGACCCGAACCGGGGCCCTCTGGTGTCCCAAGCCAGCTCTTAACCAACGTGCCACTTGGCCTACCCTAGGAGTACAATATTTTTGAAAATAAGGAAAGCATATAGTTTTAATAGTGAATGAAGATGAAAGCAATTGTTAGGGATGAGGATATTCTAGATGGGACATAATAAGACTTGATGGTTTGGGCACAGCTGTTCAGTGTGTGCCTTTTGTATCCAAAGTTAAAACTCAGAATGTTTCAAAGATGAAAAGTGTTCGAATTATAAATACATTTTGGATTGTTTTCTCTTTCATTTATCTGTTTTCCGCCTTGAGATAATTATTAATTTATTGATACCATACATTATTAAGCCTTTTTTTGGGGAAAAAATTGAATCACTTTTTTAGGCCAATAGGCCATACATGAAATATTTCTAAAACCAAACTCCTTCATTTCTCCATAGCATGTCTTCTCAGATCTCTCCTTTCTTTTCACCACCCATGGTTCTTCAAGATAGATGCTTCAGGCCAAGAACTTTAAGGTCATCTTTAACTCCTCCCTTTCTTTTCCTTTGCCTTTTTCTAAAGCCTTTTAGAATTGTATCCAAATCAAATGTCCCTGCTCAATCACTCATTCAACAAATGTTTATTAAGTGTTTTTAATGTGTTTGCCTGGAATTATAATGAGTGATGGGGATAAAGATGTGATTAATACCCTTTCTTTCTTCCTGCATACACACACTTTTTAAAAGCATAAAAAAGTGTGATCGTCGTGTTTAGAATTCTTAGCGTATGGTGGGGCAAGACATAAGCAGTGTGAAAATAAGCTATGAGATAGGCAGGTATCCTTATACACAAGATGGACCATTGGTGGAGTACTCAGCTTTGACCCAGAGGCCACAGGTGAAGAGAACTGCATGTTTCAGGAGGCCCAGTGGGGGCAGGAAGAGTTAGCCTTGTTATTTGGACAAGTAGTAAGAAATGAGATTGGAAAAAGAAGCAAATTTTGGGTTTGGCCTTTTATATCCTCCTAAGGAATTTAAATTTTACCCTAAAAACAGTAGGGAGCCTTTGTAAGATTTTAATCAAGGAGTAACATCAAATTTATTTTTATAAAATATTTTTCTGGCCAGTTTATAGAGAATTGATTGGAAGGCCATTCTTAAATCCTTAGCCCATTTCCTTTACATGAGAAACTATTTTTCAAACTTTATTTCACTGCTCATCGTAGAAAGCAAAGCATTTCTCATGAGTATAAATACCAGGAATTCGGACCCTTAATTCAATAGCAAAGGAGTGTTAAGTTGAAGGCAATAGGGAATTGTGAAAGCTTAAACCTACATTATGTTTTGGCAACCTGAAATTGCTGCTTTTAAAACTACTCAGGATTGCAAGTATTCCTAGGCAGTTGAGAACTGAGTAAAAGTCAGATCTAGATTGCAGTGTCTGGGCTCCTCCTAAGTCTACACGAGCTGTGCCTTTGTTCAGATAGCAGCGCAGTCATCTTGAATAGGATAGTATAGGAGGCAAGAAGTGTGGATTTTTGTTGGGCAGAGGCGAATAAGCTGGGTGAGGTGACTGAATTTGTATTAGTTATTTTAGACACCTCAAGGATTAGGTAAGAATAAAATTATTTGATTCACCATTAAATTTGTAGTACTCTGTAGCCCAAAATGATTTTTTAAACCATTTGAAACATAATTCACATACTATACAATTCTCCCATTTAAAGTATAAGTAAAGGGTTTTTAGTATATTAACAGAATTTTGCAATTATCAACAGTCAACTTTAGAACATTTTCATCACCCCCAAAATAAACTTGTGCCCATTAGTAATTGTTCTCATCTCCCTTCCAAATCTCTCCAGCCTTAGGCAACCACTAATCTGTCTCTATAAATTTGCTTTCTTGATATTTTACTATAAATGGAATTATAAAATATGTGGATTTTGACTTAGCATAATGTTTTCAAGGTTCACATCCATATTATAGCGTGCATCAGCGCTTATTTTTGTTATGTTTTTGTTTGTTTTGTGGGGGTAGTTTTTTGCCAAATGATACTTTATTGCATGGTTAATACCACATTTTGTGTATTCATCAGTTGATGAACATTTGGGTTCTTTCTACTTTGGGAGCTATTATGAATAAGGCTGCTGTGAACCTTCATGTGCAAGTTGTTTTATTTCTCTTTGTATATACCTAGGTGTGAAACTGCTATTTAACCTTTTGAGGAACTGCCAGACTTTTCCAAAACAGCTGTACCATTTACATTCCCACCAGCAGTGTATGAGGATTAGAAGTTTTCTACATCTTTGTCTACTTTATCACTAATTTTTCTTAAAATTTTTCTTATTTATTATAGCCATCCTGGTGGTGTGAAGTGGTATCTCAAGGTTTTGATATGCATTTCCCTGATGTCACTGATGTTGAGTATCTTTTCATGTGCTTATTATTGGTCAAATATGTCTTCTTTGGAGGAATGTCTGTTCATATCTTTTGCTTGTTTTTAAATTGGGATTTTTAAAAATATTAAGTTGAAAGAGTTCTTCATATGTTCTAGAAACAAGTCTTTTATCAAATATATGACTTGTAAATATTTGTTTCCATTCTGTGGATTGACCATGTTGGTTTTTAAAACATTGACTATATACAGAGGGTGCCAAAAAAATGTGTGTACACATTTTAAGAAAGGAAATAAATTGTATTAAAATTGTAAAACTCAATATATACCGATAACAAAAGATGAATACAAGTCACATGTATACATTTTTCTGGCACCCACGGTATTTGTGAAAGTAGTACATTTTTGTCTCTAGAGAAGAATGAAATGTTGTGTCTATTTTTATTAATACAGCTTTATGAAACATTTGGGGGGCTTAGGTGGTATACCAAGATAGTCCTCATTGACATTTTAAAAGTGCATATGCTTACTTCTTGTTTTAAAAAATAGTAAATGAGGTAGCCTATAATATATCGTGGCTGTGATCTAGAAAGAAACCTTTTTGTTAATGAACTTTAAATTGTTTATCCCTTACATTTTCTTATTTGCTATTATTGTTAAAGGTAAAATTGGAACTTGTCCTGGAACTATGTCACACTTTATATTCAGAATCTCTTTGCTAGAATTTCAGCCCCATCTCCTGTTCCCTTGAAGCATTTCTACTGCAGTCTCCTTTTCTAGTTAGGTTTCTCTTTATGTTACTAGCTTCTGGAATTTTCTTAAGTTCCAGAACTTTTAAAACTTAAAATCCTAGCACGTTATTACCTGTGAAGTAGAGTACCATTCTTTTTCTTCATCACATTGACTAGCTTTATGGTTCTAACCAAGCTGATATTGAGTTGTACTGACAACATAGGGTGCCTAAAAATGCTGCTGAGGATAAGATTTCTGACTACTTGCTTTTGCTAAGAACATTGTTATTACTGGAATTGGTCTAAGGTGGTGGAGGAAGGGTGAGGCTGAAATAGGCCCTGAGAGTCTGGAATGATGATTATCTGTGGGGTCATTTTCCCTGGGGCCATCCTATTACCTTAATAGTCTGTTTTATAATGTTCTAGATTGTGTTTGAATTCTTCAAAGGTTTTCATAAAACTGTCAGTCATTCTTGCCAGGTCTGCTTGTTGTGTGTATATAATATACGTATTGTGCTTTTTATATGTATCTGTGAAGATGTACTGTACCAGTTTTATTAGCATTAATTTAAGGTGGCACATTACTCATGAAAAGCAGAACAAATGTCAGTTATTAAGCCCATCCCAAACAAATGCTTTGCCAGTGAAGGTTTTATAATACAGTACTACCCTGTGATTTAAGTTATGGGGAAACTTTTGTTCTTTTAAAAAAATGTTTATATGTTGTGTCTCCTTAGGTTACTTTAAAGACAAAAACTTCTTCCTGATATGACAAAATGAAACACTTTAACAATTAAAAATACAAATTAAATTGAAAATACTTAGTAATATTTGCTATGAGTATAATGCTGAACTTGAAACTAAATTTCTAAAT